AGTCGTAATCGTTACAGATTGCAGACAAGAAGACTAGGTTTCAAAGACTAGAGATCTAGATCAATGACAAATACATGATTGCAGACCAAAAGACCGGAAGACCAGAATTCTAGATCTTTTTCATTTCATTTCCCAGTGAATAGCACTATGACATAGTGCCTCTCTGTAGAATAAAAAAGATTGAGAATCTCGGGCTTCTGGTCTTTTGGTCTGCGAATCCCATCCTGCCTCATCAGATTCAAGTTGATTCGGTGACAGCCATTTGATTGCAAACCAGAAGACTATCTTTCAAACATGTAATAGGCAATATCGAACAAACGGTGTCCACCAGCGTACGTTACCCGCTACTCTCATCTTAGCGTCATCTACCCGCACAAGTTCTGAATTTCGGCCACTCACCAAACTGGCTAGAATAATCATGAAAGCTTCGAGCCCAGAGTACCAGCCTAGCGTCTTAAACCTGACGAGAAAAGAATTGCAACTCTCGACAGCCGAAGTGTTGACCCAACGCACTACGTCATAGTAATCTGGATTGAATGTTGGTCCGCACTTGTGTCCCTCCGCTCCTGTTCGTTGAAAGTGGAACCTGCACGCAACATTGCGCGAATATCAGATCAGTTCAAGAAGAACGCGTTTATGGAAGTGATCATACGGACAACATCTTCACGATGTCAGCCAACCAATGTGCACATAAAGCAACCTCACTAGACAACAGTCAACCTCCTGCACGGTAGCATGGCGTCAGGGATCAGACAATGCGTTTGACTGGCTAAATTCTCGAAAGTTCGCTCTATGACCGTAGGACTTGTCTAGGTTCTGCGGTTTCAAGGCATATACAAAGTGTGCTGAATCTAGACCACAGTGCCCCAACCAAGGTTGCAGATTTGTGACGTTTGAAGAGATGTAAAGTCGTGTGTTGGCAATACGGAAGAAGTCAAGAAGAGTGTGTCTCCATCTCACCTGTCTACCAGGAAGCGAACGTCGGCAAAAAAAGCCGGCTCGCGTCGCATGCAGTAGGCTCGCAGCTTGCAAGCGTTGTCGTAGAAGACAAAGCGAGGCAGATGGTGTCGATGTAGTCGTGTATACAGCACGGCAAACGGATCGCGCGGCGACTCCCCCCAAAGCATGGCATGAAAACCATAAATTACCCGGTGGGGACAGCAGAACACGAAGCCCCCTTTGGTATGCTTCTGGAGACGCTGAGCGGACTTCGACTTGCTAAGAGTCGCGACCTCAGCGTCAAACTCCCCCACGGTGAGCCCCCCTCTACATCGATGCTCTTCAGCCCGTTCGATGGATCTGCCTAGCTCATCTTCAAAAGGTCTGTACTGCGGCAGAGGGCGCTTCTGTTCCCAGCCCGGCAGAGGATAGCAGCCAAGCGCACGCTGTTTTTTGCAGAAGGAATGATTGAGGGGTAGGTTGGGAGGGATGTTTCCACCTGCTTCTAGGCCTAGCCGCTCGTTCCAAAGCGCTATCTCTGGTACCGAGAGCGGATAGACTACAGCTTGCGGTTGCGAGAGCTGCTCTACCGCGGGTAGCAAAGCATTTGTCCGCGCCTCCCAAAACGCGAAAGCTTGCTGGCGGTCCGCGGACCATGCGTGCGGCCGCTCTACTCTGTCCCGCGCTGACCAAACGCAGATGTCTAACCCCTCGATGGCAGAGAGTGCGATCCCAGCGCGACCGACGCCTAGGCCAACCGCTCCGCGGCCCAAGAGAGTGAGCCGATATAGATGGTGGAGGGTTGGCAGGAAGAAGGTGGGGAAAGTGGAACCGTAGTGGTCTAGCAATCGGCGCAAGATGGGAGAATGCTTAGCCAGGACGGCACGGTTGTCTAGGTTTGCCACTCCTCCCAAGAGAAGCTTTCTGACCACCGCTAGAGCACTGCCATGCTGGATGATATTGCTATCATCCGAGACGGACTTCGGAGTGCCGAGGCTGTAAAGCAGCTCCGACCATCTTCCAGGGCAACGAGGGGGGCTCTGTCCGGGATTGTTTAGCAGAGACTCTGCCTTGATCCCTTCCATGAGCTCGAGCAGCGCCCGGTTTTTACTCCGAATCAGGCCGGTCTGGTCGAGAAGAATGCGCCGACGCCAATGGACAAGGACGGGGTCAGCGTCGGGGTTGTCAGGATCTGGGATGAACTCGGTGACGACTTGTACGTCTGCCCGATTGAGCGCAATCTGCAATGGCAACAGCAAAGTACTCAGAGCAGTGCAAACCTCCTTTGCACTGGAGCTGTCTAGGTTCTGCACAGATTATATATGCTTTCAATCTGCAAAATCTAGACAATGTCTACGTGGTTCGCATCCAGGTACTAGAGTTGTCTAGGTTCTGCACGATTTTTGTATGCTTCGTTTTGCAGAATCTGGACAAGTTGGTATACGCTCAATCTTACCAAGAAGACACCGAGACGAGCAAAAGCTAGACACTTTCAGCGCGGAGGCCAATCTTACACAGCTTGTCTAGATTAAGGTTTTGCAGATTGAAGCCATATACAAAGTGTGCAGAATCTGGACAACTCTAGCCCCGGATGCCAACCTCGTCCAGGTTCTGCAGATTGAAGGCATATACAAACCGTGCAAAACCTGGACAACTTCGGTACGACACTTCTGGCCCCAGGTGCCAACCTCGTCCAGGTTCTGCAGATCAAAGGCATATACAAACCGTGCAAAATCTGGACAACTTCGATACGACACTTCTGGCCCCAGGTGCCAACCTCGTCCAGGTTCTGCAGATCAAAGGCATATACAAACCGTGCAAAACCTGGACAACTCTGGTACGACACTGCTGGTGCCCAATGCCACCTCGTCCAGGTTTTGCAAACACTAGACAGCACTTGTGTCGGATGCTATCTTCACAGAGCCTGTCTAAACATAGCAGATTTCAAGCATTCGGGAACTGGTTGAACTCACCAACAGCTCGTCAAACTCCTTGCTGCTCAGGGGTGCTCCAAGATCCGGGTCCTTTGAGTGATGACGACTGAACCGAGCCAGCAACGTGCGCAACTCCGGTTGGTGCAGAAGACGCCGTTTTGGGCCGCAACCGTCTAGCCCAGCTCCGCAAAAATTCACGCCCGACTGCATCACCTTCTCGACGTTTGCTCCCGCAGCGTCTTGACTCGGAGCCGTAAACGGACGCAGATGCGCCGCGCTCGTGCCAGACAAGCCCCCTTTCTGGCGCCCACCATCCGCACACGCAAGGCCTGCGATCCCGTCGCAGAGGAGGATCGCAGGATGAGGCCCGCAGATGCTGCAGCACTCCAAAATGGAGCGACCGCAGAGCTTGAAGAAGCCCATACTCGCCTTCCGCCAGGTTTCGCTCGACAGAGGTTTGGCACCCGGCGAGTACAACCGGCGGACGGCGTTCTTAGCCTCTATAAGAGCGTTGCAGGCGGAGCCAGTGCCTTGCACGCATCGAAGCAGCAGCTGACACGATGCTTGTGTAACGATGACGCTCCTCGTCCATGCGTACAAGCCCAGAGCTTCTCCGTTGAAGTGGACCGTGTGCTTCTCCGCACAGTTGCAGCAGTAGATGCGGACCTTCACCTGCATCCGAAAAGCGGACACGAGATAAGCTCATGTGGTCTCACAAAGGCGAAGAAGAGAACAATACGGTTTGGATTACGAGATCGTTCTCACGATTGTGATCACAATTGAATACCGCTAGTGCATGTGTTGTCGGCGTGCGTAACTTCACGGACTCTTATGGTGACCGAAGCGTTACTTAATCGCAAGAAGAGCACCTTTGGTTTGGTTCGTTGGACCACATTGAAACCTGCAAACAGATGGAAGCTTGTCCAGCATCTGCGAACTAGATTATGCATGAAATCTGCAGAACCTGGACAACCCAGGCTCAATAGCGTGCATGGAAAAAAGCCTATTGCCCGGCCAACAGAAGCTCGGGCTGTGCACCTTCCTTTCTGTAGGTATGTCTAGTTGTCCAGCTTCTGCAGTCTAGATTATGCATAAAATCTGCATGATTTAGACACCCCCGACATCGTGCTTGACAAATGCAGAACCTACAAAATCCTGTTACTGTCTGTGACAAGAAGAGATTGCCAACTTGGAAGTTTGGCTTGAGCACCCTCTTCTTGATAGGTTTGTCTAGCTAGCTGTCCAGCTTCTGCATCCTTTGATTATGCATGAAATCTGCAGAATCTGGACAAGGCCCGGCACTCACCTCTTGGGACCAGTCCAAGGAGTAAATGTGCGACACCTGCATCAGGCTCGACCAGCCTGTCCCACAAGGTGGCGGCTCCTTCGGGCAAGGTGCGCACAAGCACTCAATCCTGCTCAGCTCCTCGTAATCGCGCGCCGTCAGCTGGCTGACTCTCACCGGCTGCTTCAGGAGGGTGACGGGCGGGTCGTGAACGGCCGAGCCGTCGGTCGGGCGTACCAACTTCGGAGTTTCCACCTGAACGCCCTCTGCACCCATGGGCATGACGATGGCAACCCGTGCTGGCTCTGCGTGGAGGCACGCCGACGAAGGGCAGGAGCAACTCTCACAGACGCGGACAACACCCCCCCTGTGCCCCCCCGCAGTGCACCCGGCCGCCCCGGTGTTGGCCGCCTCTCCATGCTCACCACCCCCCGTTTGAGCGGCCCAAAAGGCTTTGGACCTCCGTTTCACCCCTCGCTGTGCGGACGCCCCATCCTCTACCGTCTCCTCCCGCGGACGCTTTTCGGGTGAGCTACTGTCTGCGGAAGTACAACACCGACCTTCGCAGGGCTGCTTATCAAGGCTCACCCCCCCAAACAGCGATGGATGCTGTTGGCAGAAGCAAGCGTCGCCCTTGCACACCGCGTCGTGCTGCTCTCCGGCGACAAGACCGAGGAGGTAACGCTCCTCATCTGGCAGGGCCTCCAGTTCCTCTCCGCCCGCGTTGCTTGCTCGACATTCTTCACCAGCTTGCGGTCGATTGCAAGCTGCATCCTCCTTTCCAGCCGCCACCTCTCTCTCCTTCCGGTACAGCCAGCCCCTGGCGCGCTCCAGCTGAGTTTCCGAAAAGAGACACCCCTCCAGTTTGCTCACCCTTCTCTCCTCTCCAGTGCTCTTTTCACCTCTAAAAGATGTCCGCAGTCCGCAGTCTTGCTGCAGCCCTCCCGTCTTCCTTCGCAATACCACTGGAAGTCTGCCTCCGCGTCGAAGTGCACCATCGTTCTTTCGGGGGAGGGCGAACTCGCATTCCAGAACACCCCAAATACTCTCTGCCCCACGGTGCTGCACGGCACCTCCACCACCCGCGGCCCCTTCTGAAATGACAAGTGGCTTGGTTGTTGACGCTCCTGGAGGGCTTGCAATGCCAGCTTGTGGACGCAAGCTGCGTCGAAGCTCAATCGACCACGATCGCACGTGCAACTCGGGTTTCCCATCGTGTCCCAGTACACCGTCTCGAGTAACGCCGTGTTTTTGCTGGGCCGTTCCAGCGGCTTTGGCCTGGCAGCATTGTGGTTCCACGCGGTCATCAGGAAGACAGGGCTGCTGACCCCCGCCTCCCCAGTGCTATAGATGGAGCAGTAGCCGGTTTTGATGTTGGCCAGAAACCGTGCAGCTTGGGCAACGAGTGTGAGCTGCCCGTTCGCATCTCGGCCTTCCTCTCGTCCGCAATCCTGCAAACAGGTTTGAATACCATGGATCAGTCAATTGCCTGAAAGATCTGGAAAATTCAAGTGTGCTCGACGATACTCTTTCCAGATTCAGGATCTAAAGGAAGGCTTTAAACTGCTAAAGTGAAGCTACGAAAGTTCCTTCTGTCCACATCCTGCAAGTCGTAAAAGCATGATTGGCCGCCTTCGTCCAGATTCTGCATATCTTATTATTGTGTTCACTTCCGCAAAATCTGGACACACTAGAATTACGATTCATATCTGCTATGCCACACTGTAGCGGCGGTCTAGCTGCAAGGATCCAAGAGCAGCTAGAACAACTTTCCCTCGCTCGAAAACAAGTCACTTTTTGTTGGACCGTCCGCGGAATCTCTCCTGCTTGGCGGCCTCGGTTCAAAGCAGCTTCGGCTGCGGATCTGCTGCGCTTTCGGCCAGCTGCCTCTCTGCTCTTGGCATCCAATGTTTGCAGCCGAATGACCTCTTCTCCGGCCAGAACCTTCTGTTGGCGCCAAGAGCCGGTGGGCTGTGCAGTGCGGTCGAACCAGATTTCTGGTGGACCCCGGCCCATCCAGGTGGTGATACGCCAACAGTGGTTTTTGTGCAGTGGAGACCTTCCCGACCCAGCGCTCCACGCAAGCGAAGCACAAAGGCTGGTTCTTGCCACTGCCCTTTACCTTGTTAGAAATAGCAAAGCCGCTGAGGTTTTTCTGCTGCGATTTTCTGAAGGAGATCTGACAGACTTCGCTTTTCGAGCTCAGGAGTGACTGCTTGCATATTGCACACTTGAAAGCGGTGGAGTTGACTACTAGCAGCCTTGACGGTCTACGATAAATTTCCCCAAGGAAACCTGAGCCCACGAAGTCGGGCAGAACCCGTTACCCGGCGACCTACCCGCTATCTGAGTCATGCCGACCGTGGAGGGGCCGAGCACCTTAGGCTACTGTACGGGTTTCGCCACTCGGCCGGTCGGACTTCCTTTGACTGACTTCTAGCCTATGACCAAGTCGGCATGATATTTTTGGAGGTCGCAATCGCCTTATATTCCCTCGGATTTACCCAGGGAACCGACCTCCGAAGGCAATTTTCTGCAATCTCGGTGTGAGAGCGAACCACGTATATTGTTTCAGAGTGCATACGTACTCGCTCGGGATGAAATTTCGTATTCGCTCGGAGAGTGCCACGTGTCAATTTCAGTGCACCGGGCCCTACACAGTGCTGACAGGCGCCTAAAAGTATCGGTCAGGTTTCATGCGGCTCTCTTGGGGGGCAGTAATGGAAAATCCTCTACGGTATATGGTTTTGAAACTCCGTCAATAGTGACGCTAAATCAGCTCGAAGTCCCGAACGCCGTCGATCTTGTCCGAGAGATATCTGGGCCGTCGCTTTTATGCCATTCTTCAGATGGTTGGCCCCGCGTGGCATGCGCGCAACCTTCCGCGCTGGAACAGAGGAAGAGTCAATGTCAGGAAGAGATCATGCATGCAGAGGTCAATTGACACTGTCACCAGTCCTGTCTCTGCCGCTGCGTCTCTTTCTCCTTTGAAGTTTGAAGCAAGTGGTGGTCAAGTAACACATTTGAAAAGGATGAGGCGCGGTCAAACAATTGCCAAACGTCCAAATCGGTGCCAATCAGCATCGTACACTATGTATCTTTGAACGTCCTCTGATGGCGGCCATGTCTTCAGCTCAGCTGGTAAGCGCGCTCCAGGCGCAGCAAGAGAAGATTGAGAGCAATGCCGACCGCCCTGACAGAAGCATTCATTGCTGTGGCAGAATGCATGGAGAGCTACTTTTACGTCAGCGATCTGGCTGTCCAGTCTGCGGAAGTCAAGGACTCGATGGCCAAGTTTGGTTGGGCCTGGCTGGAGCTTCCTGAGTTCCCTGTGCGCAAGCTTTTTCCAGCTGCAGCAAAGGCACTGCAGCAGTTCCCCGAGCACAGGGGCCTTGTGCTGGCAATTGCGGACTGGTGCACCGATGCTTGCAAGCAGAGTGTGATTGCGAAGCTGGAGGCGCTGCGCTGTAGGATGCTACAGGGCCTCTGCCTCGCAGCAGGGCATCTGGCATTGAGAGGAAGGTTTGATAGCAACGGATACATGATCGCTGGACGCATCTTCGAAGCAATGCAGAAGGCTGCAGAGACTCCGAGCATCCAATTCTACTCGCGTCCAATAGAAGTCAAAGACGAGTTCTACTCGGCAGCGAGGGACGCCTGGCGTGAAGTCGGACTAGAAACGGTTGTAGCCACCTTGGAAGAACCCCTCCGCGAGAGGTTTGGAGCTGTGAACCACGCACTCCGTTTAACAGCATACTTTCTGAGAAACCACTCAGGGGTGGTTGAACTCACGAACACAGACCACAGTGTCGCAACAACGCAGTTGTACCTGGAAGTCTTGAAGAGCATGGGGGAGGCGTTTGGCAACACATTCCCTGGATTGGCAGGGAACACCGCTTTTCAGAGGTGGGTCCCACAACAGTTTGTGTGGTTTGTAAGCAGTTCCTTTTGTGACTTGGTCAGCGCAGACTCAAACATAAGCTAAGAATGAGGTTATTAAAGTGGAGTGGTGGTCAGTTGAAGTAAAAGCTTGACATGAGGTGGCCGCCAGGTCTTCGTCGCTTTCAGGAGCATGTCTTCAAGCTGTACTTTGCATTGGTCATTCTATTGTTGTAGACACTTTGCATTCCTGGCCAATCTAAGGGGGGGGAAATCCTGCCCCTGTTTTTGGGGACGTGAACTAGTAGATATTGTCCGAACGCTGAACCTCTCAAAATGCAACCCGAAGCCTTGAACATTCCTTGTCATTCGTTAGCACAATTCACTCAAGCAAGATATTGGATACACAATGTTCCAATCGCCTATGCTGTACACCGATCATTGGCTCCAAGCGGCTTAGGTCTGAACCACGTCATCGCGACCAGCCCAAAGATATGGTCAGTTGCTTCCCCTTTTGGATAGATATCAAAGCGCCAAATCAAAGCCCTTTTATCCTTCTCAGGTATCTGAAAGGTACTCTTCGGGGGATCCAAGCAGGATCCTCCTTGCCAGGATCCCCCTTTGGAGATTGCGCCAATCTGGCTAAAGAGGCCTTGCTGATTTACGAACGAACAATCAATCCTCTGGGCGTCCCTTGGGATCAGAGGTATGCTAGCTTTTCACATGCTCTATCCATCAAATATCTGCAAACCTTTCTGAAGTCAACCTGCTTAAAAGTGTTCAAATTCGATTTACAGGGTAATCAAGCAGCGCCAACGGATCATAGGGTCCGTTTCAGGTTGCTGAGAGGGAATAGAAACATTAGTAAGTGCTTTCACACTGAGCTTCGATGTATTCAGGGATGGCTCGCACTTTCATGCCGAGAGTAACGTGGATGAAGAGTGTGATACCGGCACGAGTTTGTAACGGAACAGACAAACGCAGACCTCGAGACCCAAGTGCTGACGTCAGATTAATGTTGCACTTCCCGAATGCCCTCTTGACGTTCGCTTTTCAAGAGACCGTGTCTTCGGTAACGTGGAAAGCCAGGACGGATCCGGCCCCAAGGTTTTGGGACAAGTTACCGCTGTCCATCGCTGTGCGCCAATCGTGCATATTCAGAGATCCGGATGCATGCCACGTTAGTCGTGTCATAAAGCCTGCCTACTGCCCTCGATCAATCAGCTTTGCGATTGGGTCTGCAAGAACCTTGATCGCAGAACCTAGAGAAGGACTCAAAAGGACCGTTTTAAGAGAAAATGCTGATGTATGTTCAGATTCAGGTCCAGTTTACTGAGTCTCTTCTGCTCGTCCTTCTAGAAACCCGTGCCTGCTGACCGCCCTCAACGCGCATCACCAGCAAATCTCTGACGTCAGCCAGCTCGAGATCTCGGCTGAGGTCATCGCTTACAGCGAACTCCGCAAAGATGTCAGGCGAGAGATCTTGGGGATTGCAGGGACGTGCGCTGCGGCAGATGCCAAAGCAGGCGTCGAAAGCAGCTCAGCAGGTGACTGTGTAAACCCTTGAATTGCCTCCTAGCTTCCTCTGAATCCATTATGGCGAAAACCTTTCCTAACATAACCCAAACAGCGACCAATCTGATTTCTGAAGCACCCTGATCCGTCGAGATGAGTTTGCTTGTGAATGGCGTGCGAGACAAGAGCTTCAAAGCATCGTCACTGGTCACTCCTCGCTTGGCAATTGGGGTGTTCGCGTGATAGAGCCCTCTCTTTGGCATCCATTGTTCTGACGCTTTTCATGTTTGTAATGGAACAAGAATGCTTTGCGGACTGAGTCTTTAGTCCAAAACACTGGCTAAAATGTCGGTTTAACAAGGATGATTGTGCTTATTGACGTTTAATATATAAAGTACACCATCGGACGTGATAGCGCAGGCTGAATGCAGAAGTTCGCGATGGCCAAAATCGCAGCGCTATTGGTCGTTTTTTGATTTAAAGACTCCAGTCTGCAAAGTTCAGCCTGGGGGCCGCAAAGCTTGGCGGGACAGGCCCGAGATGCGGATAACACGCAGCTAACAAGCGCAAGCGAGAAATCTGAAGCGTTATCCCTAAAAGTCAAAGTCTTAACGGCAACGCTGCGAATCTCTGTCGTCCCCCAGCTATTCTGTTGTCTGCGTTCCGCCGGCATCTGCTTGCTGTGGATCAACCATTCGTCCGACCCGCCAAGCGATTCTGAACAGGTCGTCAGGCTTTTACGGATTCTAGGCTAGACTGCGGCACCTAGTTTCGCAGACAGCGCGTCTGATCCGGCGGATTCGGCTTGGCGCTTAGAGGACGGCTTGCGTGGCTCTCGGCTTATTGGCCCCGTACCTACCTACTGACCACTTTCGCTGATTTGTACGAACCCTCAGCCAGAAAGACAGGTTAAGCGAATCGGAGGCCCGACAAGCTCACATAGGGCTACTAGAAGCTGGCACAGAACGGGCGGTTGAAAAGGTCCGTGTTTCTCTCTCCGGGCTTCTCACTCTCTCCCCGCTTTTGCGCAGGCCCATCCGGTCACAACGAAGATACCAAAAACGAGCAAGCGGGTGACGCCTCCACTTCCAAGCGGGAAGGGAGGGCGAAAGAACGCGCGTGCGCCAAGTGTGGAACAACGCAAAAGCAGCGTGGCTCTGGAGAGCCGGCTTTCAAGAAATGCTCGCGCTGCATGTCCACGTACTACTGCGGACCCCAGGTGACCAGACTTGCTCTACCTCGTTGTGCTTTGGTTGTTCGTCTTGCCTTGGCGATGATACACTAATCAATTGCAGAAAAGGGTGTCCGGTTTTGGAATCTGGGGCCTCTCTAAGAATGAAAGTGTCCGACTTTGTTTCCGAAGCAGATTTAGGCGTGGAGAACCGTTGAGTAAAGTTGTTTGTCAGGGTTTGGCGTGATTCTTGGCGTCCGAAGCTCTGCTTTTGCCGTCTGGAGAGTGTACTAAGCAGAATCTAGTGCGATCCGAAGGTGGCGTGCGCTGCGACGTCTTCCTTACATGGGGACATGCCGTACTGAACCATCTGTCGCGCCAGAAACACCTCATGCACCGGATCCTGAAGAGTGTACGTTTCTCCGCTTGCAGTGTCAAAAGGCCCATTGGAAGGAGCACAAGCCTGTGTGTGTGTCTCGATAGATCGTTTCCCGTGAAGCCTGCTCGGGGAACCTGTACAGAGAACCGCTAATAAAAGATCAGATCAGTGCTACGATGGCGAGGTAGGTAATCTAGAATCTTTTAGCATCAGTACAACCTCTATGTACCGTAGTCCATATCAGTGCCTCAATATACGAGGGCGGAGCAATCTCAAGAGAACAGATCCCGTACATAAGCCAGCAGGTCGTAACTAGCGAGTCGTCTTGGGGCACTTTACAGGAAGCCCGGCCTGAGATCGCCGGCACTCGTTCACTGCCATTGGCAGACTTTGAAACTTATGCTTTTGGCTTCAGCTGAGCCGCGAGCATGTCAGACCATGCATGAGTCTCTCATGAGTCTTGCCCGCCTACTGCCAAATTTGACAATTGGCTCCGCTATATCTGTGGCAGCTGAGCATTCTCTCAACGAACTAGTACGCGGGCCTGCATGCATGCGACGCCGCCAACTGCAATCTGTAATGTGTAATCTACATTATAATGTTATAACATTATAACGGGCTTTGTGAATTGATCGACGTGTACGTTGACAGGAACTTGTCCCGCTTTTCCAATTTAGTGCATATGATCAGGCTTATATACTGAGTATTGAATCGAAGCATGCATGTCAGTGTAAGTCGAGCTTTTCGGACCGCGAGCTTGCATGCACATGTGTCTGATCGTCCGGCGCGGTTAATATAGCAGCACGCGACTGAGTCCATGTGCATATCTCACTGATGCTCTGAGTCTGGAGCCGGATTTAGAGCGGTCCGGCTCCGCCCGCCACGCGGGTTTTCGCGAGCGCATACACGGACGGGTCGAGGTGCAAACCACATAAGCCACGCGCCCCGCCGCGCCAAGCCCACAGAAACGGACTACAGTACGGTCATGCTAGCGTGTGGTTGCTAGCCTACCCAAATGGCCCGCAGTACCGTATTTCTTACGGCATGCTTTAGCAACTCACAACCATCGTGTCAAGCTACTTAAATCTGGCATTACATCGGTCGTGGGCTCACGACTTCACGAATCATCAACAAGAGACCTATCACAACGGCTTCGTCACAAACAGCCCCGGGATTTCGTGCTTTGTGACTTTGCGCCAACGGCTTGCAGGACGAATTGCAGATTGCCTGTATAGGTGTATCTTTCTAAGCTAAGAGAACGAAAGCCAGGATCCAAATCCAGTGTTACTATCCCGCCTTTTTAGCATTTGTTATTGATTAAAGGTTCTCCAGGAGCAGACTATGTACGGGCACACACGAGCTTGTGCTGCTTCCAGTGAACCTTTTGACACTGCAAACACCAACAATCGCCTTCAGTACCCATGTCCGTACTTCGTAGCACAATCAGCAAAAAACATTCAAAAAACACGCCGCATGCAGTTCTCTTTTCGGATCTTCACCGGCAAAAAGGAGAGAAATACACAGGCAACGTGCCAAGATGGTTCTTAGACTATTTCGCATATTCTGTGGAATATCAATATCATCCCTGGCAAAACGACATTTCTATGTCCAAACGAAGTAAAAGGTTTCGAGAGTCGTCGCAACCAAACATTTCCCAATGCCGTAAGCAGATCTATGTCACGGATTCCGAAACTTGTCCATATTCAAAACAATCTCTTGACAAAGATGCGCTCGGCAAAGAGCATCTCATCCTGCGAGAAAGTCTCAGACAGCGCCAGCTTTCCTGCTGCCAGGCAGAGGCCCTGCAACATCCCGCACCGCATCGCCTCCATCTTGGCAATCATGTAAGTTTTGCTTGCAAAAGTCTGTGCAGAGATCCGCTAGGATCAGCAGAAGACCCCTGTGTTCAGGGTACCGGCAGAGAGTCCTAGCTGCTAGAGGCAGAAATCTACGGAGAGGAAATTGGGGCAGCTCCGCCCACCACCAAGCATGTCTAGTCCTTGATTCCAGGACTTCTGGAGACTGCCTTTCCCGAGCGCTTGTCGAGAAATAGTCAGGCACAAGCTCGGATACGGCAATAAAAGCACGGGTGAGAGCCGCCGGATTGTTGGCATTGCGCTCAATCTTTGCGTGCTGCTTCTCAAGCTCCTGCACCAGACGAGCTGCCATGTTTGCCGTCAGTGGCGCCCGAGACTGGTTGATCAAAGAGCGCCAGCAATTTTATAACTCATCTTTTACCCATCGCTTCCACGCCAAATCATGGTCGATTGGTTCACCCAGTGGCCTGTGCCTTTCCTCGTCGCTTGCGCATCTGCAACATGCTCTGCCAGTACTGAGCTGTAGGAGCTGTAGGAGCTGTAGGAGCTGTCCTATTGGTGACTCGACCACTGGTGAAATCCGAAATTTTGTTTGAAGGACGAAGTCTTGAAGTCGAGGGGATCCCCTTGCCATTGGTTCCCGCCACTTTAACTTGAAGGTCGCCGGCAACTGTTGCCATTGGACAGAAATTGAAGCTCCAGAACCGAGAATGTGGCGCACCCTGAACAATGGAGCAGCAAAGTAGGGCTTGCATTTGGTAAGAAGAGATAGACGTCTCATGCAGGCGCTTGACTCTGTTCCAAGGGACATAAGGGAAGGCATTCTGAGTCACCTGCAGTCTCGAAAGTTAGACCATGCATTTAACTTCTGTTGGCCGTCGTGAGGCAACTTGCGGCTGTTGGGAGGTTAAGCTGAACTTGCAGTGAGGGTGCATTGAATCTGCAGATTGCGCTGACGGAAACTCCTCCCTCTTGGAATCTGTGGAGATGGCGTCAATGGATGCGGCCCAATTAATGAGCTGTGAGCTCTATTTCCATAAAGTCACCATTGACCAGAATGCCGACAACCCAACTGTCCTCACAGAGCACTTCATTGGAGTGGCAGAGTGCATGGAAGAGTACTTCAGCATCAGTGACAAGGAGGCGCAATCTACAGAAGTCAAGGAATCAAGATCCAAATTCGGTTGGGCTTGGTTGGAACTGCCCCAGTTTCCAATGCGCGAGCTGCTGCCAGTTGCAGCGAAGGCCCTGCAGCGATTCCCGATGCACAGGGGCCTTGTTTTGGCCATTGCAGACTGGTGCATTGACGTCTGCAAGTCAAACGTGCTGGCAAAGATGGAGGCAATGCGATGCGGGATGCTACAGGGCCTCTGCCTGGCGGCAGGGCACTTAGCTCTGTGCGAGACGTTTGGAAACGACGAGTACCTGCTAGCTGGATGCATCTTTGAGGCGCTCCGCAAGGCTGCGGAGACCCCGAGCCTGAACTTTTTCTCGCGATCAATGAAAGTGAAGGACGAGTTCTATGCAGTTGCAAGGGAGGCTTGGTTGGGGGTCAGAATAGATACGGTTCTGGAGGCTTTGGAAAAGCGGGGAACGTTAATGAACTTTGAAGGGCCGCAGGCACCGAACCCGGCACTCGTGCTGACGGCCCTCTTCCTGAGAAAGGGCTCGGACTGGGTGACAATGGAGCTCTATCTGCAAGTGGTGAAGAGCTTGGGGGAGGCGTTCGGCAACACGTTCCCGACAATTGCTGAGAATCAGGCTTTCGAAAGGTGAGCCAACAATTTTGAAGGCGCCTGAAGCTTAGTACAAATTTGCTGTCAGCTTCTAAAGAAAGGCCTGAGGTGATGACAAGGTTTCAGTGACTCATTGCTGGCGTGCACAAGCGGACGCTATGGTACATGGTAGGAAGGCCGTCGTATAGCTCGGCCATATGCCCCATTGGATGTCGGAATGTGTTTAGGAAAAGATCTCGTTTTGGTGAGTTCTGAGTGTCCGAATGCACAAAATCTGGTTAAAGAAGGAGCAATAATATCCTGACATAGTGCACAGCGATCAGCTGTGACTGCAGCCCAGACAGCCAACTACGGCGACAGGCTGGCTTTAGCAGTGGGTGCACCAATGGGGCTTCTTCTGTGCATCATGTTCTTGGTCAGTGTAGTAGATTAGTATGGATTTTGTTTGCCATGCGTGTAGACTCTCCTACAAAAGTCCGAAGTCAACTGGGAAATCAAGTCCTCTGAAAGATACTGCTTCGAAACTCGTTCCATCCCTACAGGTTCCTGAACGAGACTTTCGAAGGCTTCCGGGGCAAGGTCTTGCCGGACGCCCGGTTTGGCAGCTGCGGCGATCTGCTCGATGAGGCCCGGCTGATTCACATGCGGAGACTCTACCCTTCTGACATTCCTTGGGACCACAGGTATGAAGAGACGTAACAATGTGTGTTTCGCCATGATGCTGACTGCAAGTTCCGTGGTACGCCTCGTACTTGAGCGCAAGGACTGATGTTGACGGCTGTGATTACCCGTATGGTGATGGGTGGGAGTACGACGATAGTATGTTGATGGTCGGCTATGGTGTGCCATGAGATATAAGCGGCTCAGCCATAGGAACATGCATTTACCGAGAAGTGCATGAGGTCGCTTGCTTAATCGTACAATGGAATAGTCTTCTTTAAACTACCGTTTCTAAACTCTGCTCAATGTTAGCTTCCGCTGCATCAAACTGCCAGAGAGGCACCCCCTCGCCTGAGCTAACTCCTTGGTTATAAAGTTAACTCCTTGGTTATTGTGCTAACTCCTTGGTTACAGAGCTATCATTTCACTCCTTGATTATAAAGCACGACGGGGTACCCATGGAGCAGAATTAGCACGAGTACATATGTTTTCTTCCCTACACAGAGCTTCTGGAACAGGCTTCGCATTTTGAAACTAGAGTAGAGTGCAATCATGTTAGGGGCTGCACTCGGACCAGAACCGACCAAACTAAATCCTTCTCAGAGCATTTCATTTCGCGGCACTCATTCCAAGTCCTCGTCTTGCTTCCAGGAACTCGTGCCTGAATCCAACTCTGAACGAGCTCTATCGGAACATCTGCACCGTCAGCGAGGCGCAAATCTCGGAGCAGGTTGTTGTGTACAACAAGATCCGTAGAAACGTACGGCGTTAGCACTTGAAGTCTGCCAGGAGATTTGCTGAGGCCGATGCTCCTAGCAGCAGTTCGGCAGGTGACCACCTCGAGGCCCTAGACTCCCGTTCTCAAATTGGGTTTCGTATTTCCTGTTCTTGTTACGACCTTTTCCGACAGAAGTTTTGCATTGCATTCTCTTTACTTTTCAGGGCCTTCTCCGATTGGAGTTGTGCAATCTCTATTCTTACTAAGGAAAAGGTCCTTCAGATTGTAAGATTTGAGTCAAAATGGTTAGGTTTTAGACAAGCTCTCCGGAAAAGTTTCCGCTTCCAACCCACTCGGGTTAGGGGGTTGTCAGTCGAGTCGCATGGTGGAAGGGCATCTAATCGAGCGGTGCCCAGGTTTGTTAACTGCGTTTTTCTATTCCCCTTCTTCTCACTATCTTCTCACGGTGGCGAACATCAGGTTCATTGTGAGCCGGTTCACATTCGACATCAGAAAGTGCTGATAACTGCGCGAGGTTCAGTACTTGCTCCGGTCCCACTGTTCCTTGGCTCCTGACGTGTACTGCGTCATCAAGCTCATCAACTCACCAGGTCTCGTCACAACTTCGTTCTTCATTCAACCACGGCAGTTGATAAAACTGTCTGCTACATACTCTCCATGCGCTTCCCACGGCTTCGCTTGCCGTGCTCTGATTGAATTTATCGGAGATTCGTGTTCCAGCATCCACTTAAGGCCTGGCATGGAGCAAATCTTGACTAGAATAACGCGCCTGGCTGCTTAGGAGCATCCGGTTCCAAATGTGTCAGCCCACGGAGTGATCTGCGCCTAGATTCGCTCAAGTTCCTGCAGCCGCCAGTCTTCTCCAAGCCTTTAATCAGGCTGCGCTTATAGTTGCGGAAAAACTTGGGAATATGTGACTAGAAACATTCGACGCCTTACATTTGGGCCTAATCACCCCGGACATCTACCTTCAGATTGAATATATTGCGTAGACGCTACCTTCACTCTGAAAACGTACTCCAATCTTCTTCAGCGATTTTGTTTCGAAGAATCCTTTTTGGCCTCGTTGGAAGCTTCTATCCTCATCGTTTCGCAGGAATACCCGCCAACAGCGGGGCTGTTAACATCAACGACAGTGCGGGATCATTAGGCACAGCAAACACGGGAGCCTCACTCGAAGCGGGAGAGGCCTCTACCCCCCAGCCGGGGGGCCGGAGAGCGAAAACCAGAGCTTGTGCGAACTGCTCGAAAGACCAGAAAGAGCGCGCCCCGGGGGAGCCCGCTTTCAAGAAGTGCTCTCGGTGCATGGCCGTGTACTACTGTGGACCACAGGTGACTAACTGTTGTACCTTTTTTACTACGAGTCAGCTGAGGATAGGTGGACAATTGAGGGATCTGAAGAGGAGCAGCGGGACTGAGGCACAGGCAGAGGAGTGGTCAAAAACTCTGCCTTAGTTTCAAGAAGCAACTAACATGAGAAGGAAAGAAGGCATACACATCCACAGCGGTGTAACGTACGCAGGCACGCGCGCCCACAATATGCGGCTACAGTAACAAACCCTCTCTGCCAGAATCAAGGCAAAAGCACATGGCCCCAAGAAGTTCAAGTTGCGTGAGGGATAAAGCATTGAGAATTTAAAAAACAAAGAGAGTCCAAGCAAAAACCCGGACTCACCTGCTGAATGCAGTATTCTCGGCCACTGTGGGGAACTTATTTTCGAATGCCTCCGCAATGTTCCTCACGACTTCGAGGTAGTGCTCCGTGTTGGCCGCGTCAGGATACTTATTGAAGTAATGCAACGTGAGCAAGAGCGCATGGTTCGCTGCTGGTGGCCCGTCAAAGCCCTCCCATCCCTCTCTTTCTGCTAAAACCTTCAATTCGGTCCCCACATCGACCTCGCCCCACGCGCTTCTCGCCACGGCGTAGAACTCGTCTTTGACGTCTACCGGCTGCGCATAAAACTCGATGGCTGCGGGCTCCACAATCTTCCTGAGGGCGCTGCTGATCTACAAGCGGACCTTGAACCCCGCAGAGCTCCATTGGGACCACAGGTATCCTCTTTGCGTCATACACATAACATCCATTTGTTGTGACATGTACACATGATCTGTACACATGATCTTTTGTGGCAGATACATCTGTTTGATTCGGCGGAGCTGACAGCATGTCGATTCATGGCAGGTTCCCTTAGCGCGCTAACTTTGTTACGGTCAATGTCATCTCCCAGCAGCCTTCAACGTAAGATACTCCAACGAGAGTGCTCTCCGTGAGTACGTAAGACTGTTACTTACTCATCATGTGCTGTCTCTGAGCATGAAACACCCATTTTCAGTGGCTCTTGGAAACTGGTTTTGAAAGACACTCTGCCTCGAGTCCTTTTCCATCTTCCGAGTGGCTGCTAATATTGCTTCCCCGTTGCTGGAGAAGTGTTCCTCGATCCTGGAGGGAAAAAATTGCTAGAACTGGAGCAGCTCAATCTCGGAACCACTGATGTATGTCACTTCTGAGTAAGCCGGACCATTTGCGCCAAATCTTTGCTTTCCTGGAGATGAGCTGTCCAGAACGTGCCAACTAGGGCCTCTTCTTGTATGTCCAAACCTCACTATGCAACGAAACTCAAAGCTTCGATCTGACACGAAAACACAGAAAACAAGCTCAATAGATCTCCAACTTTCTTGCAGCGTACCAGCGCTGCTGCCTGAGCTCAACGACATGTACCGGCAAGGTGGCGGCGTCAACCAGGCCCCGCTCCCCATGATTGTCGCTAACTACAATGCGTATCGCCGCGACTATCGGGCAACGGTCTGCCGGACCGCTCGCAAGTATGAGTGCACCTGCGCGCAGTGCGAAAAACTACAGAGCGAGCGGCCGTCGGGTGACCCTCTCTTCATAAGGTGCTCTCGCTGCCGGAGCGTCTTCTACTGCGGGCGCGAGGTGAGGCGTTCCGCTTTCGCTTTTTGAAGCTTATTCAAGGTTTTTGAGCTGAGCGACTGTTTCTTTCCCTTGTTACTTGTGAAGCGCAGCCTTTGCCGCACCCAGGACCGAATTCAATCGGTGACTGGTCCTCCTGATTTCTCCTGCGGCAACGTGAGGCGTTCCGATTCGGTCTCATGGGTTCTCAAAACGTCTTTGTACAAGTGTTTCAATCAGTTTCTTTGTTTTCGAAGTCAGAGCTTGCTGCACCTGTCACGATCACGAAGGTCTCCGTCTTTAGGAAGCGCTCGCGCGGTTGGGGCGTGTTCCTACTGCGGTCCCAACGTGAAGCTTTCAGCGCTAATTTTCTGGGTTCTCTTTGTCATCTTTCTTCCTTTCTTTCGACTGTTTCAATGTTCCGGTAAGAGCAGGCTTTGCACCCGTGATTACACCAGTTAACGAAGCAGAGCTCCCCGTCTTTGACAAATGTTCAGACAACCCGAGTGTCTTCCCCTGCGGGGACGACTGTGAGGCGTTCCGTTCTGATATCTTGGAATCTCTTCGACGTTTCTTGTGCACTGTCTCCCTGTTGCTTGTGAAGGGCAGAATTCGCCGCACCCTTGACCTCACCACATTCAACAAAGAAGGAACTTTCCGTCTTTCAGAGCTCCTCCGCCGAAGCGTGTTCCAGTGCGGGTTCGAATCACTGCATTCCGCTCTCGTCTCCCTCCATGCTCGTCGTTTCTGTTCGCCCGCCCCTGTATTCAAACAATCGGGGTTTGAGTAAGTCAGGCTCGGTGGAATCGTGACCATACCGGAATCATGAGAATGGAGCTTGTGATACCTATCCCGATGCCAGCCGTTAGAGTGCGCAGCGTATTCGATTGCGCGCTCAATGCGAGCAGGAGGCCGTTATCGGTCCAGTCGCTTTTCTCTGTGCTAACGCGTTTCAATCTGGACTGACAAGCGTTTTTGCCCCACCGCACGGAGAGAACCATGAGTTTTGTGGCCGTTCCTAACTGACCCGCCCATATTTTCTTTTCTGATGCGTCTTCTATCTTTTCGGGCAGCTTGCAAGAACCACCTCGAGAATTGGTTGAAGCCGCTCGGATTAATCTGAGAATCTGTGTGGGAAGGACAGATCAGAAGCGCAAGTTCCTTCGCCAGATTCTGCTCCCAAGTGCGAGAGCTGGCGGTTTCGATTCAGCTACAGGTCAATTTCAGAGGGTTTTGTGCGGCTGTAAACCATTAGAAAGCAGGTCACGACTTCTGCATGCGAGTGACTTCTTTGTGCACGTCGTACTCAGAATCATGTCGGATGCCAGGCGTTCTCGCCTTGACCAACGTGACGTCCTGCATACGTCCACAATAGCGTCACGAATCCAGTCTGCAGTCTTACTCCGAGCTCCTGAATATCCTCGTCAGATATCACGGTCCTTTTTTTGTCCACTCATCCTGTTCCTGGTCGCCCCTGCAGTGTCAACGGCTCGACTGGACGGAGCATAGGCAGGTCTGTGTTGCACCGTAATATAGAAAGTAGGTTGTACAGGCATACAAACCGTAGCTAAACACGAGAAATTGACCGGTCAGTGTAGAAATGGAAGTGGGCGCAGCCCCACATAGTGTGCCGCAACGTTAACGCCACGCTCAACCGAGCGTTTGACTGTAGATACTTCGAGTTTGGCAGCCACCTTTGTCTTAGAACCTCCATATGGCCGTTATGTCGCTGTTACTGTTGAAGTACAACTCGGTCACAAAAGCTGTTGGTTGATGTTTCACTTGTGAAGTTTCACAGACACGCACTTATTACTTTCTCTTTTACACACCGCAGCAACCTGAGCCATAGAGTTCTCATGGCATACATAAAATGCATGTATGTATGGTCATCACTATTTCTTTTTCGATGGCTGAGCTTCTATCCAGCTGGCCGCTCTAAGGCAATAGCAAGTTCAACGAGTGCGTCGGGGCTCCAACCAAAATTGGTTATTGCATAGCTTAGTAGCTTCCTACCCCTCTCCCCCTCAAACCACCTTGCAGTCACCGGATCACCTGAGCTAAAGAGTCTAAAGTATGTATTCATCCCGGCTCGCAATGTGTAATTCGGATCCCATGCGGATTTCTATCTGTCCAGACATAGAGGAGACATATAGAAACAAGAAGTATAGAGTGCGTCACCCGCAATTATGCGTGCATAATGCGCATTGCTAATTCTTGACGGACGATTCGTAATGTCATAATGTGTATGGTCTGTATGGTTCAATCATCAATGCACCGTCGGTTGCACAATGATCCAGCCTCCAGGCCATGTCTCTTCAATTTAGGTCTAGATCAAGCTCCAGGTAAAGTAAGTTCCCAGCCTAACACTAAAAACCTAACCCTCAAAATCACCCGCTCCGCACCCGAACCCACCCTAACCCCCGAACTAACCCCACCCGTCCCAGGCTGCTTGGCTTAGGTACTTTACCTAAAGCTTATTTTACCTAAACTGAAGTCTTTACTCCAGGCCGGGCCGCGCTACCTTGTGGTAACCGTCCTTCAAGGCTTTTTGCCCAGCCGTTTGCATTTAAATTTTACACCTTGTCTAGTTGCCGGCAACCAAAAGTGGCGGGAATCGACTAGGGGATCCCTTCAATTTTAACCCAATGTGAACTCCGGGCCCCTGCATGATGAGGCTGGCCCAGGCTGTAGCCTGTACAGTGTACTCCGACTGGCACGGCAGGCATGAGGAGGCGCACAGCAAGGATAGAGGCAAGCTTGAAGCAACTCTAATACCGTACTCGAAGTAGCTTGAGGCTTCACTTATTCAGGGCGGATGGCGAGCAAGCGACGGCCATTGATTAGTAATGTTGCTGGTGCTGTTGTACTTTTGCTGGTGCTGTTGTTGGTGCGACGGGCATGGATGAGCAAGTCTGTTGTTGCTGGTGCTTTTGTGATTTTGCTGGTGCCGTTATTGGTTCTGGTAGGCAGGTTGTGTCGGGCGCCACAGACGTCAGACATGGCACCTGGTCTGCTGCGAGAACTCGAGAGGCTGCGCGCCAAGATCGAGCGCAATGCCCACAATCCGGCCGCCCTTACCCGTGCCTTCATCTCAGTGTCTGAGCTCGTGCCTAGCTACTTTACAACGAGCGTTGGCGAAACACAGTCCCGGGAAGTATTGGAATCAAGGACAAGGCACTCTTGGCGATGGGTGGAGCTGCCACAATTTCCCCTCCGTAGATTCTTGCCTTTGGCGGCCAGGGCGCTCTGCCGGTTCCCTGAAGAAAGGGGCCTTGTGCTTATGATAGCAGACCTCTGCACAGACTTGTTTAAGCAGAACATGATTGCGAAGATGGAGGGGATGCGGTGTGGGATCCTGCAGGGCCTCTGCTCGGCTGCGGGGCAGGTGGCGCTGTCCGAACCTTTTTCACAGGATGACATGCTGTTTGCGGAGCGCATCTTTGGGGCCATCCGGAAGGTGGTAGAGCCTGCAAGCATCGGATTCTACTCGCAGCCGGTAGATGTCAAGGAAGAGTTCTACTCCGTGGAGAGAAGCGCGTGGGGCGAGGTCAATGTGGGGGACACTCTGAGGGTTCTGGCGGCCCGAGAAGGTTGGGAGAGCTTTGACGGGCCACCAGCTGCAAACCATGCAATCTTGCTCACGCTGCATTACATCAAAAAGCATCCTGCAATGACGAACATGGACCACTACCTCGAAGTGCTGAGGAACATTGCGGAGGCGTTCGGAAACATGTTCCCTACGGTGGCTGAAAATGCTGCATTCAGCAGGTGAGTCGCCTGACTTTTCGGTTGGAAACTCTTTGCTTGTATGAGTCAGAATGTGTCCCCTCTTACGCGACTTCATATGCATAATGGTATGTTTTCATTTTGGCTAAATGTTTTTAGCAATTTTGCCCTAAAGCTCCTGGCAAAATGGTTGGCTGTGGTGGTCACACAGTATGCCCGCGTGGGTGATATGAAATAAGCACAGGCTCTTGAGATTGGAGGCACCAGTCACATGCCATTCTTCTGCCTGTGGTCGTCCCTCTACTTCTGGTCACCCCCCTTGCTGAGACGGCACAGTCTGCAAAGCTCTCTATGCACTTCTCTTGTGGCTTTGTTTCTCTTCACTCAGAGAATTGCCGGCCCAACTTCCTCGTAGCTGTCAGGCGCCGTTGAAACCCTCTCTATCTTCCAAAGCTAGCATCCATGAATCCTCCTTGCTATCTTCCCACTTCAAGCATTTTTCCCAAGTGCATTGCAGAGTGTCTCACGGGTGCCTCATGCTTGGGGAGTGGAGAATGCCTCCTTCCTCACAGGCATGCTTCCGGCAGTCATTTCAAAGCGGTGTTGAAGCACATCCCCTGGTCTACTCACACTTTCAAGCTCTCCGCCTTTGCAGCTTTGTGAAGGACACTCTGGAAACAGCCAGAAGGCCGGCCCAGCCACAGCACCTTACACGGATCCAAATGGACCTGATTGATGAGGCTCTGCTGATCTACAAGCGGACCTTGAACCCCTCCGAGTTCCCTTGGAATCACAGGTATGCGCTTTGCGCCACACAATTGACCAACTGATTGTGTTCACACCCTTGAGTATGTCAAGAGCTCGATCATCAAGGAGGTTTGTGCTGCGGTTGAGAGGATTGCAGCTTTTTTGAGGCATGCTAGAGTACGCGGGAGGTTTCTATTAATCACAGTGCTTTCCTTCAATATGTGAGTGGTGTAACTCACTCAACATTTTCTGTCCTTGAACATCAATTACCCATTGAAATGGCTCTTGGAAAACGGCTCTGAATAATACTCAGCTCAAGCCTTGTTCCACCTTCGAAGAGGCAGCTAATATTGCTCTCTTTGCAGCAGTATCTTGCAGCGAGTCCTCTGAACGGAATCGTTTGCTAGCTCCTGGAGGGGTTCAAGCTCAAAAGCAGTACAGTATGTCAATTCTGATCAGCCAAGCCAAATTTTTCGGCACTGCTGCTTTCACACCAATGTGAGCGGATTGATACATGCAGACAACGGACCTCTTCCAGGCCTTGGAATTCTCATAGTCAACGAGATCACCAACAAGAAAACGCCAGCATGTCTCCATCTTCTTCTCCTTTTTTCTGATTTCACCGCAGGGAGGAGGGTGGGTATCCCCCCCGGGTGGGGTTCCCTCGGATCCACACGACTTCGAGGGTTCTAAGGATACTTCAAAATCAACCGGGCTATGCTCCCGGCCACCCCCTTTTAAGATACGACAGAATTACAATATACGGGTTTGCGTTCGAAGTGTAACCTTTTGAATGACCTGGTGGGAGCCGTGTTGAAGCGGGTACCTTCGTTCGGTCTGGACCGTTTGTTGGAGGTGTAGAAAAGAATTGATTAACTGATGACCGTATTTCGGTTTGAAAGAACCGATTCCGTGTAGAAATGTATTCAGGCAACCGACAGGATGCATGTCTCCATCTCCTGCAGCAAACCGGCGCTGCTGCCCGCCCTCAACCGCTTGTACGTGCAAGGCGCCGGGCTTCTCAACCTGGTCCCACTCTCCCTTCTCGTCGGCGCCGAGAACCTGGGTCGCCAAGAGCACAGGGCGACGGTCTGTGAAACCGCTCGCAAGTATGAGAGCACCTGCGCGAAGTGTTCCAGGCTGCAGAGCGAGAGGCCAAGGGGGGATCCCCCCTTCAGGCGGTGCGCCCGCTGCCAGAGCGTCTTCTACTGCGGAGCCAACGTGAGGCTCTCCGCTCTCTTCTCTTGGGTTTCTTTAGCCTTTCTGTTATCTTTGTTTAGTTGCTTTGGTTTTCTTGTGAGAGACACTCTGACGAGAACGGATCGACGAAATCGAATCTTCCCATAGTGCCCTCGCTGCTGGAGCATCGTCGACTGCGGACCCGAAACGAGATTTTCCGCTTCCGTTCCTTCGATTCTCCTCGGCATAGATGTTCGGCGTTTCCGGTTGGCTTCCTTGCTGCACCTCTAGCCAGAGTAAGTCGATGACAACGAGATTCTCCACATTCGGAGACTGCTTCCGCTGCCAGAGCGTCTTCTACTGCGGATTAACCGCGAGGCTGTCCGCTCTCGTCACTTGGGCTCCCTTCAACGTCTTCTCAGTCGTTCTTTTATTCTGTATCATTGTTGCTTGTGAATGACAGACTTTGCTGCACCCATGCCAAAAGCAAATCGATTAAACCGTAGTGCTCCCGCTGCGCGAGCGTCCTGTTTTGCGGACCCGACGTGAGGCTGTCCGCTCCTGTTCCTTCAGATCTCTTCGATCATCATGTTCTTTCTTTCTGGTTTTCTTCCCTGCTGCGCCCGTGACCAAAGCGGGTTGATGACAACGAAAACTATGACGTTGGAGAATTGTTCCCGCTGCCGAGGCCTCTTCACCCCTTTCCTGATTATCTCTCTGTTCCTTGTCAAAACGTAACCTTGCACCCCTTGACCTTACCAGTAGGAGTTCCCCGTCTTTGACAAATGCTCAGCTTACCGAAGCCTTTTTGAGTGCGGGGTTTACTATGAGGCGTTCGTTCTCGTTCTTGGGTCCTCTTCAACGTTTCTTTGCACCGTCTCCCTGTTGCTTGTAAAAGGCAGATAGTTCCGTGACCATGATTAACAAAGAAGAAAGCTCTCCGTGCTTCAGAGCTTCAACCGCAGGCGAAAGAGTATTCAAGTTTTGTATCTTGCGCTTGGTGAAATCTGTGTATCCTTTGTTTCCTTCCTCTGCTACTCGTGAATGCAGAGCTCTTCCGCCCGTGCCCTACTGATTCTTGACTAGAAAAGGTCTCAGTCTCTGGAAAGTGCCGTGCCAGAGGAGCGGGTTCTATTGCGGGTTCGAGGCGTTCCGCTTTTGGTTCTCTTGGGTACGGTTGAAAGACCTACTTCGGGCTTGTCTCTTTGTTCACCCTCTTTCTGTAACAGTCCGGTCATTCCAAATTTCAAGCTCTTTGGAGCTTGCGACCTTAGCAGATTGACGAGACCGGAGTTCTGATAGTTCCCTCAGGATGCGAAGCGTCTTCGACTGCGGGCGTGGCGTAAGTCAGTTGGCCCGTCTTACCTACTTCATTGTTTCATCGCGATTTAGCCTCCTTTTTTTGTGCCGCCCCGTTTCACAGTGCAAGTGTTTTTTCGGCGAGGACCGTAAATTTTCCGGCCATTCCTGCTTGCACGTACTCCTGTTCCTTTTCGACTTTTCGTCGTATCTTTCCCTTTCCTGTCACGTTCTTCAAGCTTTTAAACGCTGCGTCGGCTGGGCTGCTTGCAAGATCATCCAGCTCGGAAACTGAGAAAGCGACTCGAGCCCTCTGAATAATTTGTGTGGAGGAGCAGACTAAAAGCCGCAACCTCGGTCGCCGCAATCCTGCTTTTAGAGCGCAAGAGGTGGCGGTTTGTCAGCTTCGTTCACAGGTCAACCCCCGAGACTTGTGTGCGCCTGTAGGAGGTCACGACTTCATGAAAGTGGCCGCATTGTGCACATCGAACTCAAAATGTTTACGCTGTGGGTAACTTCGCCTTCGCCAGCGTCCGGCGCACGCCCGTACACTAGCGTCTCGACGGATTTGAGTCCAATCTGCAGTCTTCTCCAAGCTACGAATATTCTTGTCAGATATCACGGTTCTCTTCTCGTCCACTCATCCCGTTCCTGGTCGCCACTGCAGTGTCAACGGCTCCACTGGAGGGAGCATAGGCAGGTCTGCGTTGCACCATAAATCAGAAGTATGCTGTACAGGCGTACAGACCGTAGCTAAGTTCAAAAATTGATCAACTAGTGTAGAGGATAAAAGTGGGCGGAGCCCCACTTTGTGCGCCGCGACATCAACGCCCGCCCAACCAACCTCGGGGGTGGCCAGGTCGCCGGTGAAGGATAGCCTGTAGATACTTTGAGTTCTGCAGTCACTTCGTCTCAGAACCTTCATACGGTCTTGATCGGAGCTAATGTGCTCTTTCAGATCAATCACAAAAATGCAGGTCGACGGGTGATTGGTGACAGTTCAGAGAAACGTCTTTGTGATCAGAGTCCACCCCGTATTTGAGAAGCAGAATACGTGTACTACATGGTTGTCAGGCTTTGAGTTAAGGAGATCGTCGAAGTTCGATCACTTTCATGCATGTTAAACGGATGTCCCTTGCATATATACTGCGATTGCGAGCCTGCTCTGCAGAATCTTCACATATGATGATTGCCTCTCAGAGACTACTTCACAGTAGATAATTCGACCAATCTCAATATCCCTGCCGTCGATTCCTGCAATGTGATTATACAACGTGAGTCCATACATGCATGTGCATATTTTGCAGATATGACGTTGGTAGAGGGCATGTTCAAATACATGGCATTCAAGTTTTACTGCGCATAAGGAGCTGGCATGTGTGCATGCACTGATACTCGCTACATGCAGGTTTGTGATTTGGCATATACGCTCATGCCAAGTAAGTTGGTATGCATGGTCAACCAGATCGACCAGCACGCCAACCGCACCGTTCGCAAATTGTGTGCCAGCTCTTACCAGATCGAAAACGAAGATATAGAAACCGGCTTGAGTCACAATCACTGAGACAGTCAGCTTAAGCGGTTATTGGACAGGCCTTAGTAGTGCACGCTTAAGGTGACACAACCGTCCGCATTATGTTTTTGAAGCCCTTGAAGACATGCCGATATGCACTTACCTTGCTGGCTAACACATAGTTTGTCAAGTATGTAGACTGTCACCGTCTGTTCGTTCAAGACTACTCCTCGGACCTGGTTCTGGCAGGTTCAGGGTACTCTCAATCTCTTCTTTTAAAATCTCAATGTCACAAGAAGTCCTGATCTTTCCAGGGACAAGAATCAGCCCTACATACTTGGAGTCTAATGAAGGAACCTTCGAGGGTTCTCCTCCCAGGGGGACTGGCAGGGGGCCCTCAACAGGAGTCCGACTCCGATACTCAACAGCCTCAGAGAGCAGCAGATTCCCTTGTTTATCTAGACAGTAAAGGTTCCCAGAAAAGTTTCTACCATCTTTGATACCAACCCGCAACCGCCGAGACAAGAGCTTCTTAGCTTTCTGAATTGCCACCCTTGATTCGTCCTCCTTTTCTGGTCCCTCTGATGCGCCTGTATCTGAATGCATTCTTTTGCCTGCAATTCAATGTGTAACTTCTTCCTTAAAATCCCTGATCCAATATGTCCAGAGGCGAACCTTGTCCGCATTCTGGAATAGCCCTTTCCCTGACCATACTTTATCTGAAGTATCAAATGAAACCACAAACGCACCTGAAGGAGTACCAACGGCCATTTGCCCCCCATTGATTAACTTCAAGGTGAGAGCTCCAAATAATCAAATCTGACAATCACCAAACTCACTCATCCTTCTTCATACCGCTGAAGACTATACTTCTGTTCAGCAAGCTGCGAGACTTTGTGCGGACTACTGCGCAGCTACCCTCCCAGCAGAAGAAACTCGCACTGTTGAAAAGAAAGGCAAAGTTGCTGACGACTTCAACTCTCATTGCACACCAATATAGACTGGACTTAACCCTTTGAACGCTTTACAACTAGCACACTCACTCACCACAGGCAACCCCTTTCGCGTCTCCCAGATTGATTGACCGGCTGCTCCACCACTGCGCACCGTGGTGGTCCTCCCTTTCCTACACTTGACTCCTACTACAGAAGACACAGGACCCAATCCTCGTGCTTTGCAAACTATCTTACATCATACAAACATGGGTGGTCAAAGCATTGACTTCATTCAAAGCGAGTCACTTTTGTAGACAGCTAGCATTTGGCAGTGACGCTGATGTCTTTTGCGGTTCGCCTCTGATGTCAGTCCTCTCAAGCCTAATGCCTACCCTTCTGGTCCAGCTCACGTGTCAACAGTCATGTCGTTTGCCGTCAGCATTTGGAAAGCAATCGCCATTTGCTCTCTCCCCCATTGCGAAGGCATCAATGTCATCATGACAGGATCTCCTCCATTCGACACAAGTGCTCTTTCCCGAGCGTTTTGCAATTTGTACTAACTTAACCGGCGTGATTTGCGGGTCCTACTTTTTCTGTCGCAATCCTACACGTCGGTTCCTCGTCAACCGGCCTTGTTTTACCGGCCTTGTTTTACCTTGTGACTTTCCAATGAGTAAGCCCTGGTGGAGCCTGACCGGCCGGAGAATACTTGGACAGTATTAGACTATTGTGGGCCCGCGCAACTCGCGCCTCGGTTAGGGGCCCGTAACCGGGAGTGGAATCAAACAGGTAGCCAGAAAGCCCTAGCTCAGGCTGTACCGTGTACGTACGCTGGAAAGGGATGACAAGAGGGAGGCTGAGGCAGACGCTGGACATTTTCCCAAATGCTTCGGCTAGGGCGGCCAGTGTAGAACTAAAACTTAGAAGGGACCTGGGAAGAACAGCTAGAAGCGCTACGCGCGATCAAAGACCATCAAAGAAGTGCCAAGAAGCGCGGGAGCTGTGACGCGCTGCGTTTGAGCCACCGTTTGCTGTTCCCCCTGCTCAGACTTTGGTTCACGCTCGCAGAACAACTGCTTGGAAGCCTGTTTTGAGCCGGAGCCCTTGTGGCAGCCGTTAAAGTTAAAGGTGTTGCAATAGGAGTGTCAAAGCTCATTTCTTGGGTGCGTCACGAAATCTCTAGGAAAAAGTTCTTCCAGCTCTCCTGTCCACCAGTTCCTTGTTGTGAACCCGAGTCTTCATCCATGCAAGCACAGTCTCAAGGAAAGTTTTAGGGTTTGCTTTAACCGCGGGGCGGGGTTATGGCCACCACCCCAGCCGGCCGCAACCGATCACGGCACTCTCGACTAAACCCTGAGGTCCATTCTTGGAGCATGCCGCTGGCAGGGGAGGGAGAAGAGCAGACGGTTCCGGAGTTTCCACCCCTGATCGATCTCAGCATTCCGCTGCCAAAGTCACGGTTTATACCGGTGAGTTGGGAATGCAAGGCGCTGAATATGTCATGCACATGCAGGTGCCTATTTCATGCAGTCTGCTTCATTGGTATGTCATTACCTACTTTTCGGTTAAAGTATGAAGTGGTCAGAAAAAGTTCGATCGACATTGGGGTGAGGGGCCTCTCGAGCTGGTAAGTGCGCGTGACTTCTCGCGAAGCTCCTGCAATCACAGAGTCCGGCCTGAGGATCTGTTTGTCAGTCAGCTTTCCCCCTTGCTTTAGACCTAATCCGGTGGGTCACATCATGACTCCTTTCCAACTAGAGATCTTGTGTGAGAATGTCCAGGTACTTGAGCACGCAGTCAGAGAATGGGGAGTTAATAAAGGAGGGGGGAAGAAAAAGAAGAGCATCCGGTTGAAACGGGGAAAAGTGGTCAACTCTAGATTTGCAAACTTGTCATCTTTTGACACCGCGCAGGTGCCCCACGTACGGCAATCGTACGCATGGGACTGTGGCCTGGCATGTGTCCTAATGGTTCTCAGGGCGCTCGGGTTCACTGGTGTCAACCTTAAAACGCTGCGGCAAATGTGCCCCACAATGAGGTGAGCCGGTTCTGTTCTGCTTTTACCCAACGTGGTTTGTGTTGAAGATGTTTTGGAGCGGTGTCTTTGGTTTCTGGTCTGCTTACTTTGAGCGAGTGCCTCAGGTCACGGATCTTCGCAACATTCACGGAGAAGGCTCTGGATGGTAAATGTATTGGTGCCCCGGAGACTGTTCATCTCGAAATGCACGCTGCTTCTGCTGTGTGCTAAACGCTCCTGCTATTCTAGATGGTGAATCATATTCAGACGCTTCTGCTGTTTCAGCTTCTTTTGTTGTTCTGGATGGTTCTCCCAACAACAGACTCTTCTTGATGATCCCTCCTGATGCAGAAAGTTCAACGGCTTGAAGCTTTTTCAAGCTCAAACACCTCCGCTTTGAGGAAAAAGTTTGTCATTTCACACACTTCTGCCGTCCCGAAGCATTGGCCGCTTTGACCTTTTCAGAATGCCTGCCGTTTTGTGCACTGCTGACGCGTCTGACGCTTGCAGCGTTTGGAGCGTGGACTTGGCGCACCTGCTGCGGCGCTTTGGTGTGGACGTACAACTGCTAACTGTGACGATCGGTGCCAACCCTGGCTTCGCGGACGAAAAGTTCTACAAGGTGGGCCGCCGTGCTTCTCGTGAACTTCATTTTGTCATCTCTGCTTCGTTTGCCTCATACTTCCTCCTCTTCTCGCATTCCTATCTCGTTTTTCTTCTTTTGGCTTCAGCTTCCTCCGGAATGCCCCCATCGACTATCGGTGAATCGTTTGGCCTTTTTGTCCGGCGCAAACTCTGGACTTGCCAATCAAGAAAGCGACATGGTGGGTCGCTTGTCACATGAAACGGTATCATTGGCCCTTCGGCAGTCCTTTCGTTCAACTCAGGTCCACGTCCTGTTCTCTTATCCTGATTCCTTGTGGCTTTTCCGGGTTATGCTCTGTTCCTATGGTCCACCTGCAATCCAACCGAGAAGGCGCCGTTGGGCATTGTCTGAAAGTATGCTCAGGTTTCGTCTTTTCAGTCAGTTCTTTGAAGTCGTACAATCATCCTTGCGTGGAATATGAATGTTTGGTACCTTGCAGACCCCGATATGTGGGTCAGCTTCTGCCTGTTGTTTACCAGACGTTAGCAGCAATGGTGGATGTGGGATCGATAGTTGGGGCATTGTCTCAATCTGCTTTCCCGGCACTCTCCTAACCTTCATCGTATCGCGTTGCTTTCGAAGTGAAGCTCTGCTTTGCATCTGGTGAAGTTTGTCATGATTGATCAACTGCCGCCATTAGTGCCTTCATCCCCCTGACTGAGGAGGTCCGCCATTTCCAGCCACAACCGTAACTGAACGGCTTTCTGATCTGAGAACGTCGACCTGCTCCAGGGTTAAACTTACACTCCAAAAAGACTTGTTTTCTCGGTTTTGCAGGAGAACATGGCAGATGACGTGGATCGGGTAAATAGGCTGTTCGAGAACGCAGGTCGCGCAGGCATTTCAATCCAGGTGGGCACCGGCAGAACGCCCTTACCCGAGCACAAACCGTGAATTGCTGATGTTGCTATTTGATCCACTCTGTGCGACGAGTATTCAATCACCAATCGTCGCTTCTAGCTGGCCTCTGAACTATGGTCAGTTCCTGTGACTGTCGCTTCCTAGTTATTGCTCTGAGCGAAAGACGTGGACCATCTGTCGTGACCAGCTTGTACCCTCTTTCTTGCAGTGCCGGTCGATATCGAGCGACGTGTTCCGGTCGCTCGTCCTCTGCGGGCGGTACATAGTCATCGCCCTCATAGATAAAAAGTGGTTCCGGTGCGTGCTCATCCCGCCTTCTTTGAGAATGTGCAATTAGCACTCGTCTAGATCCGAGGGTATGGAAAACCAGCTTTACGCGTTGCCGTAAAAGTCGGTTCGTCTTGAGCGGAACCTTTACCCTCTACCCTCTACCCTTTACCCTCGCGTTTGTTCCTCATCTTTGGTTTTTTCTCGAAACAGTTCTTGAGCTCATACCCGTCCGGGTTCTAGAGTATCTCATCTCAAGTCAGCGTGTTGTAGACCGTGAAAGCTGCGGACCGAATGCCATTCGAGACAGCGCCACTTGTTTCCTGACGAGGAAATCCGCATAAGCTTTTCCAAGCCGGGCCAGTCAGAATTGCACACCCAACCTTGTGTGTGCAACGGCCAGAGGTTCTCCATCAGCCCTTGCCAATCTGTCGTGAAGAAAAGGACCGTCGTAAAGAGCTTGTTGTGCTAAGCCAGCTGTCCCAATTCCGCAGGAGTCTCGGCTGGACGCACGAGTTCTGCTTCCCAGACTGCTTCGGTCTGTCAAGCGGGTATACAGGTCAGCCGACTCATGACCAGCCCATTAGTTCCCGCTTGCCTTACGTAGACCTAGTAATAAGAAGTGTTTTGTGTTCCCTGACGCCCTAAAACTCGATTTTGAAAATCCACGTTGGCCTAATGGAAGCGCCCAGCGACAGGCAGAGGTGGTTTGGGAGTTTTAGCTGTGCTTGTCAGGGTTGGTTAGCTTGCTAGAGTTTGATTTCTTAGGGTGGTAGGGGTGGATAGCTTATGAAACCGAATCCAGGTTTTTTGAATCGCGACATTTGCCTGGTTATTCTTTGCTCGCACGCCCTTGATAAATAAGGCAATTGAGACGGATCGAAGCAACCGCTCAAGACTCGACCCGATGTTCGTCTTTCCCTTTCATTTCTGAACACTCTGTGCTCTGTCAGACTTGGGCAAGAAAACTGGGCGTCGTCGCCTGACTGTGCGCTTTTGTGTGACAGGGCATTATATCGTTGTCTGCGGGTACGATCACGACCGGGACGAGTACGAGATCCGCGACCCGTCAAGTAGTAGGTAAGGAGCGGGCGGCACCCTTTTAATGGGTTCCGTCGTACGGCGCCATAACTTAGCTTCTTGTGGCCTGGGCTTTTGCTCACAACCATTGAGTCTGGAACACGTCAACAGTGCCGCTCCAGGTAAATGAAGCGTAGAGCGCCCGGTGAGGTCGTTCTTTCAAGTCAAGTTCGCCGTTCGTGAGTCAGCGAGTCACCTGTGCGCTGTCTCTTTGGAAGCTTCCATCTTCTCGCAACAACATCACAAGATTCGTCTGTACTGTCTGCCTCTCTGGCGCCCTAGAACTCTTTGCTGACTGCGGAAGTCAAGCCGTCCAATGGTGACAAGCGGGAGTCCAGGTTTCCATTCTTACATTTGGCAGGCTGCTGGCTGTCGTGTTGTTTGACGACTTTGTTGGTTTCATGGCAAGCCCTTGAATGCGCTCGTCGATGTTGAGAGTCTTTAAGACTTGTCACTGGAGTCGTCCGTGGGATCGACAGTGGCCTGACTCCACTGGTGTTAGCACGCGTCATGTGTATTTTGAGTCCTGTATGCGCCTCTTCTCCTCACCTATCGGTCCTCTCCAGCTCATCCTTCTCATCCTGATTTTGCAGTGAGGTTCAAAGAGTCTCCACAGGCGCTTTGGAGGCAGCTCGGCGGAGTTACGGAACAGACGAGGATTTGTTGCTGGTGAGCCTTTTGAAATCTGCATCTCAACGTGCCGTTTCCCATTTCGGCGGTAGCGTCTACTCTGTTGCAATGAAAGCACGTGTGTTTCTAAGCATCTGCCGAGCACAAAGTGTTTCCAGAACCAAATCTTTTCTGTGCGAATGTTTGAATTGCAACTTCGTTGAGTGCATTGCCACCATCTTGTCTTATCACCCATTTTAGTACATATCTTTATACTCAGAAGATGGATGGTGTCCTCTTTTTCATTGATATACTGAGCTGTTCGCAACTGTTTTTCAAACTTTTTCTTTTGTCTTTCGCAGATTTCGTATGCGCTCGAGGAGGACGAGGAAAGTTTAGGCAGGGGGCGGTCTCGGCTCGAAACATCGACCACAGCAGTTCGATAGCAGCGCAGCTTGGGTGCGCATTCCATCACTGACGAGCACGCATGCTTAGACCAGATTTTGCACGCGCCAACAAGTCTGGCCGATGCCAGGAACTCTACAATTCTCCGGGTTGACCCGTCAAGACGACGGATTGGAAAGCGGTGTAAAATATGGAGGTTTCAAGTTCTGTCAGTAGTATTAACATAAACTCCTAAGGTCTATTTTAACAGCCCGGCCGGGATCATTCCAAGTCAGATCTCTCAATTTTGATGAGCATCTTTCGATCAAATATTGCATTTATGATGAATGTACATCACTGCCTCACTGCCTCCGATCGAGGTGGGTTGCATTGCTTAAGTTATATTCCAGGCCGGTAATATGGTTGCAATGACCGGCCATTCGCGTGCGCATGCGCACACTATATATAGACGGTTGCATAGGCATGAACGTGTGAGATGAGCTGCACGATTGAAATATATATTGACTCGAGCGTATTCTTACCGATCTTTTGGCGGCAGGCGCAATATTGCTCGTCGTGGAGAACATGAGGCGGCAATTCAATATAGTAATATCAGCGACTCATGTGCATAATGAACATGAGTGTAAAAACCAACGTACGGTCACAATGATGGCCGACAATCAATCGACAGTTGACTGATTCTATAAGCCGGGCTGGTGCACATTTAGAGGTCACTTTCGCAACAGGCCATCTACTTGACAGTATGAGCAAGAAATATGCTTACAATGTGCAGTCAAAAACGTCGCTCGTGCCGCGCGGTTTATAGCAACCCAGGAGTTCACCATGCAAAACGCATATGCCTCTTACTTCCTCACGTACCCAAAGTACTGCACCATGGGGACGACAAACGCAATGATCAAGAGCCCCACGACCACGGTGGTGAACTGCCCCCGCTTGTCGCTGGTCTCCTCCTTGGTCTTGAAGTTGGACACCCTCTTCGTGTCGGCCACCTGGGGTGCGCCCGGGTCGGGCAGCTTCTTGATGGCGGCCATTAGCCGCTTCACGGAGCTGAGCGTGGCCTCATTGTACTTCTCGTCGGTCGCCAAAACTGCAGAGAAAGGTACAGACTTGTCAGAGATCTCAAGCTTGCGCATTGTTGCACTTGGTGAGTGACTATCAAATTGCATCCGCACTTTGGTCTTAAGTCGGACACGGTTTGTGTTTTCAGATCGTGTGGCGACATGCGCACATGTCTTGCGGTCAGGACTGCGTCCTGTAATGCGGTCAGGACTGCGTCCTGTAACCAAGTGATAGTACCGAGGATGGATGAGCAAAGGGACTTTTGGAGCGACGGTCGCTTAAAGATCCTCAAATAATGATCGAAAAGAAAGAGCCTGACCACTGTGGGTCCTTGCCAAGCTGTCACCAATCGTCGTTTGCAAGTGAGCCACAGCGCCGAAGGAAAACTTGCTGGCTTTTGTTTACGGGAACTGAGACAGTTGTCAACTGAAAAGGATGACAAACAACTCTTATTGTGCTCAAGCAACTCGTTTGCAGACACCCTTGGTGGACTTCAGGCGGCCAAAAAAGACAGGTGTAAAAGACATGCTTCCGAAGTTCACAGATACTCAAACAAAAATAAGGTCGAGTGCAAGTAGGTCGGGACTGTATTGGATTCTCAAATGAGTGCCCTTGCAACTGCTTCGAGTCGCCGTAATGACGAGTCTCTACATCCTACTTGATGTGAGGAGATTCGAAAATATTCAAAAGCCGCTAAAATTGGTGCCAAATGATCCAAACACGACGACTGTGTCCTTTGCGATCTTGCTTCGCAACTGTCGCCACACGCTAGTCTGTTTCTAAGATCTTCACAGCATCTGCCCCTCTCAGAGAGATGGGGGTAAGATCACAGACCATTTTTCGGAGATGAAGATAAGTTTAGAATCAGGAAGTTAAGAGCCATTGGAGCCATTTGGAGTCTGGTTCTGCTTGGAACTGTTTCTATGGTGAGATTGTTCGCCCTCATTCAAGGTTCCCATATGGCGGTTGTCGACAGTCTGCAAACTTTAATGCAGGTTGGTCACCTAAGTCGAGGTCCAAATTGGCCCACTATGCGATGCTACAGATGCAGCTCACTCAACGCAGAAGTTCTGCGTACCAAGGCTCTTTTCGGCGATTGGCTCCAATAGGATACAGATTCAGGGGCCATGACAAAAGCAAAATTGTTCAAAACCGAATTATCTGAAGATCCAAAGAGAAACGTCGTAGCAGAGACAATGGACACACCCGTGGCAAGGGTTGCAGTTGACTTGACCCTGGTATCGCAAGAAACAAGTCTTAGCCAAGTAACATACAGAAAGTAAGTGTCGACACTCACTTGGGAGGGACTCGGTAGCGATGCTCTCCAGGACGGTTTCGCCAACCGCAGCGTTGAAGGCGGGTCCGCCAGCGACGGCGCCCTCCTTAGCGGTGGTGATCAGCACAACGACGCCCTTCTTGTCGCCCTCTTCCAGAGTGGGGTACCACTTCTCGAGCAGGTTGTCAGCATACTCAAACACATCGCCGCGGGACTGCAGCAGGATAGAAGGAACAAAAGGGCTGAGTCAGCAACTACAAGTGTCCTGTTGGGAGCAATTCCATTCCACTCTACTTTCAGAGGGGTTACTCAGTACTTTCCCTCGTTCGTTCATATAATCTGAATGCGAGAAAACGGCCGGCAGTCTCCATAGACTTCTGTGAACAGCGTTGATGAACGAGCCACACTTTGCGGCTAGGAAACTGTTGGATTCTGGCAATTCTTTCAATCCTATAAATGTTGGATCCTGGCTCAAACTTCGTTCTGCCCTGAATCTCTGTGAACTTTGGCCGTCTGGAAGTCAAGTACAAGCGTGAAATCGGAAGGGTCCCGCGAGGGCGACGCTTCTGTCCTGATCTTCATACAACCGTGTCTTGAGCGATTCAGTGGCCTCAATACTAAGAAGCACCGTGGCATGTGGCTTGGATGTTTAGAAGGCTTCACAAAGTAAGTTTTCATGTTTGCTCAATGAACAACAAAAGGAAACTAGCTACTCTGAATGGTCCGTTTGAGTTGGCCTGTATGACTGAGCCCAGACACCAGCTAACCAGTACATTATTGAGATTAGAGAAGGATGGTGAAAATATCTGTTGCAATCTCATGTTGCTGAGATCATTCTGCCACTTCTCAATGCCTGTGCTCTTGAAATACAAAGAAAGGGTCAGCAAATGCACATCACGACCGGAAGGGGTTCTGAAGTCCACCTTCGGCTATCCAACAGGTTACGGATTGGCTGCACATGGCCGCTTCAGTTGCTTAAGAAGTTGCATTCAGAATGTCAGGAGCAGGTTCTGTGGCAAGGTAGTGTCTTCCTTTTAAAGTAAAGTGTGCACTCAGATGGATTCTTTGCACTCAAATGAATTACTCGACACACATGGAGAATAATATTGCCAGCAATGTGAGCCTCACGCGACGCTTGTGATTCCTGAGGTGTTCCAATCTCAAGGCTGCCTGGCATATTACATTTTGTCTGCTGCTTCTGTGACTCTGCCTTCAGAGCGAGCCTTCTTTGAGGCTTACATTTGACGGCACTATATAATCTCTGGACAAGCCAAGAATTAAAAAGGCGCTACTAAACCATAATGGACCAGCGCACCAAGTGAAAAGCACAGTACAATATTCCTTGAAAAATACCACAACTCTCCGACAACCTGGACTTGCAAAAGCTGCCTTCCTCACAGTATCAACGTCTGTCCTCGTCAGAACAGTATTACACCACATAAACCACAGCCTCCTTGCGCTCTTGCCTCTTAAGAATATCTGCGCACGTCAGGGTCTCTATCTGTCCGAAACATATGATCTGTTTCTTGAAAGCAGACCGTGCTTGCTCACCTGGAGTTTTCTGGTGGTCACCACATCAATGTGGTACCCGTACTCCTTCTCAAACTGTGTCAGTTCCCTGGTCAGCTCTCCCTTGGAGATCCTGCTGAGCACCCCCGCATCATCCACAAAGTGCTTTTCTGTCGGCGCAGGCTCTCGCAACACGTCAAAGTCGCTCGCATTTGCAACGCCGGAGAACTGCAGAGCTGCAGACAATGCCACTGCGGCTGCTGCATTCTTCCAACCCTTCTTGTTCCCTTCCTCCTCCTTTCTAAGAGCTGACGCTGTGACTTGTTTTTTGCAGCATTGGGAGTTTCTGCGCACAGGCAATGTGGGCCTGACGCCAACAAAACCGGAGCTAGTGGATGCCGTTGAGGCGTTGCTTTGCCTGTTCAGCACAGTGCAACCCGGGGTCAGCTGGGAGACGGCCTGCATTGTGGCAAGAGAAGCCATAGCGCCAGCTTTCAAAGCGTGCTGTTCAAAGCTGGCTGCTGGATGCGTGAAATGTCTGCTCAGCACCAATGCAGTGATCCAGCTCCATAAAGGAATCCACGTACAAGCAATAGGCTTGCGACACGTGTTGGGTTGCCAGTCGGGTTAAGGTTATATTTCGATCCGGTTACCACAATATCTTTGCACAAAACCTGCTTGAGATTTCACCCCAGTCTCGTTTTACCGGCGCTAGCTAATACCGTATTGGCTTGCCTCTTCCC